GAGGAATTAGGAAAATTCTTTTTACTTTTGCGATTGCACTACTCACATCATCACTATTAACTTGAAAGTCTAAATAGGTTTTCTCCAATTAAGGAATATTGCTTTATAATATTATTTAAAAAATATAAATTATTTTAAAAATGCAATGAAAAAATAGGAAACTAGAGAGAGTACATTTCATTTTTTAAATAGTATAAGTAATTAAAAATTTAGAGTATATTAAAGGATATAGTTTCGGGATTTGTTTAGAAGGCTGAGTGATTAAATTTGACTGATGGAGTCGACTCGTTTGCATGTACCGCGTTAGATATTAAGGTCTGTGCAAAAGCTTATCAAAACTTGTTATTTAACCATTCCAGTCTCCGTCGGTTTATATACTCGTACACGTCGTCGTCTATACAATTTTCCGTATTTCCAGATATATTTCCGGTTGTTATCCTTTATAGTGTAACCTCGTTACGATATTGCGGCGCACTCGCGGCTATTCGTTACGGCGAATGTCGGTTTCGTTATTGTATTTCTCACAGCGTGGTTATCCTAAAACAGCTGTCACTTCCAGATACCCCAGAAATGATGACCATCTTCGTTCCCCGTCACGACAGAGTCCCCCGCGCGACAGACGCGCTCCAGAGATGAATTTTATCGCGCGCGAGTGCACAGCTTCCTTGCAAATCGCTGCTTGAAATCCTTAACTACTAACGATTTATTACAGGCGCAGTAATTGTTGCGGTCTACAGACAATCCAGCGAAGACGAAATTCTCTATCTCGGTAGAATAATAACGTCTATATTTCTTCATTATTTTAAATTATTGTCACGTCTGTGTATTGAATTTATCGTCATACGTGCATACACACGCGCGCAGATAATTAATGGACGCGACGTGAGATACTTAAAAATTCTAGAATTTCATTTGAAAATTCACGGGAGAGTTGCGCGTATGTCGTTTCAACAATCGTTTTAATAATAATTAGCTGCAGGCGGACGCGCACGACGTAATTTGCAGCGAGTTGCGAAAGCTTCTGTCCCTACAACGTGCTCTTGACGCCCATTACGACGTTTTCTTATTTTTGCACAATATTTAGTGCATTCGCGCGTTTATGCGAAACGTCGCGCGGGTAATACTTTATGTCCGAGTATCGGATTAACGTAATATATCGGATTAAAGTAGGCGAACGAACCGGCGCGGCACGGCGTGGTATAATCGCGTTTTACGAAGTTGCCGCGCGAAAAGGCGTCGCCGTAACGAGGATCTATTCTGAGGCGGCGCGTTTTAAGACTTTACTTTATCTCGTCGTGGATAAAAGCCTAGCGTCGTCGAGTTGAAAATTCGATTCATTAATCTGACCGCCGCGAAACGACCGCGAAATCGATCGAAAACGTCGCCGCGGAAATTGGGACGGCCATCGCCGGCACGAAGAGAGAATGAAGAAGGAGAAAGAGAGGGAAAAAGAGGAAGAGGGAAAAAAAAATAAAGAGCGCGAGACCTTTCCTCCACGACTTTATTCCACCTAACTTCGCCCTGCCGGTTTACGACTCCCTGAATACAGCTGGCTAATTAACGGCGCTTCCTTAGCGGGCGAACTGGGAGTAGCCAATTTCATTTCCGTTCTCCCAGTTTTATTTTTCCCCCTCGGTTAAGCGGTCTCGCTCTCTCGTAATTCAGGGTTACCGGCGTTACCGCGCGAGTTGCTCGATCTCCCGTCTCCGGCGTATCCGGATGCTATCCCAGAGTGCTGCACTCTTGCTCGAGAAAACTCATGCACTTTTCAATTTCGCCGAGCCACTTGGATCTGGACTTTCCGTCCGGCGTAAGGCTCTCACCCCTTTATCATTTTGGGGTAGCCACCCTCGAGACGTCATTTTTATTACGCGCGCCGTTGTGTTTCCTATGATTAATCTGCTGGACGCGTGGTACACCCTGTTATACTGCACATACCTACAATACATGATGTAAGAAAGGGTCTTCAATTTTCGTAAATTTCGCTATTCATTGCCGGGGCTTTTTATAAGCCCCCTACACTGCGATCGCTAATACCGCAATTTGTTCGCTGTACCATATATAGAACTCGCGAATTGAATGGGAGCGATTCCATCCCTTGATTTGATTCAATTATATTCGGCGAGGTGCAGCGCGGATGGACTCGTGTTCATTAACACATAACAAATGCAACCCCTCAATGTACATTAATCAAATATGTGTATCGCGTAGTGTATAATACTGCACATTATTCCTTAACAATCCTGAATTATTCTTCAATTAGTGGGAATTAATTTCGAAATGAGGATCACCCGGGGTTTTTTCAAATATACCGCAAAATCTCAAGTGTCAAGTGGGATTCGTGCAAAAACGGTAATTTCCTGGCTTTGTCAGTGTCGGCTGCGGGCATTTCCAAACTTTGTCAATGTGTCGTCTAACCGATCGTGTCCGTTGCGGCCAAAGCGACGGTTTTGTGCGCGCGGGGGGAACGCAGGTCTGTAGTTTAACGAGCTGGTTGAATTGATGTATTCTCAGCTCGGTTTTAATTAATCGGAGTGATGTTTCAATCGGATGACAGGTAAATCATGGGCGGAGTGTCGGTGAAAGAGAGAGAGAGGGGGGGGGGGATGAAATAGAACTAGGAGATGCGAAAAAGCGAAAGAGCCGGAGAATGGAGGAAGTGGCCTGGCGTCCGTGTAGACGAGTACCTCACGCGAGTCTGATGGCCGTGGAGAGTATGAGGTTTCCCTCGTTAAGGCTCGTAAATAATGACGATGGCGACGATAACGAGGCAATTTACCGGCACGCTCTTGCTCACGTTTTGGTCGACGTTCGGCGATTTGAATCCTTTCGTGAGTTTGCGATCTTTACGCGTGACACGCTCGTGCGCGAGCGGACAGCTTCACCGCTGGCGATGAAGGGCCTCGATCGATCGGTGAATGAATTATAATAGCGGGACATAACGTACCGGTATTTTATCGTTTGTGCGAGACGTGGAAATTAGAATAAAAATCCGATCGATGCGTGAAGTTTGTCGACAAATATGTACCTAAGCGCGTGAGAGAAACATAAAGTTCCAAATTTTTCTCTTCATAGGATCGAGAGGAAAATATTGTAACGAGAATCTGGATTTCGATCGGTGAAAATAAAATTTTGCCGCATATTCGTTTCTTGATGATTTCGATGTGATATAAAATATCAGAATGTGAAGATTTCCGGGTTATAGGACTCTAAAGGTGCTAAAATTTAGGTGAGCCTGAATTTTATATCAAGCGCTTTCGTAAATCCTTAAAATCGCAACCACCGAGACGATTAGATGTGAAATATTCCAGCGTTCGACCCGGATTCGGACGGCCGTTTCGAACGGAAGGACCTCAATTTTCTGACTCCGATTATTCGAGTGTATGTGAATTTGTGGGCTTATAATAAATGTAACGCGGTGAGGCCATATGGTCATAGTATACGGATATCTCGTTCCCTAATGGTTTCCCCGCTCGTTTATACTCCTTGAAGCGTAGCACCCAATTTCTCAGAAAGTGTAGAACAGATATGAACAATTTAAGCTTTAAAATGATTGAAGGTGTTAAAAGTAAGAAAGAATTCCAGGTGTTAACTCAGTGAGATTCAAGCAATGTTAAACACTGCGAATTTTTTTAAGTAGAAGAGTATTGTTTTAAATATTTGAAAAATTTATCTTCTTTTATTAACATGTATCTATCATTGAAATTAATTAAAACTAAAAAAAAACGTAGGTTTTTACGTTTATATGCGAGGAAATATTAAGAGAAAATGAAAAAAACACGTGAAAAAGTAGATTCGTTCATGAAATGATCGTTTCCGAGTAACTCCGAAGCATGGTAGCACGAAAACATGTTGCGCTATAACTATAAATATTCTGTAGGAACACGATATCTTGCATCAAACTCATAGAGAACATTTATAAAGGAGGTGGAAATATTTTTTTCGTATTCTACACAAGAAATACTTTGTGCAATGTCAACTATTCCTTTTCACGTGTGCAAAATCTGTGCTTCAGAGACTCGACGGATTCATCTGACTGTGCATCGAGGAATTAGCTCGACAATCGACGATACCACTCTGGCGGAAATACAGCCACACAAACGCCAGTTCGCTTATTTCGCGAAGCGAGTCGCGTGGGTGACGTCTGCCTCCGGCAGTCCTTGCCGTTACGGAACGGAAAGCGAAAGACGGAAAGAGGAAGTGAGAGAGAGAGAGAGAGAGAGAGAGAGAATAGAGCGAGGCAGAGAAAGAGAGCGAGAGAGAGAGAGCGAGAAAGAAAGGGGAAGAGAAAGAAAGAGAGAGAGGAAGAGAAAGGGGGAGGGGGAGGGAAGAAAGAGAATTCGTTTCGCACACCAAGCAGCCTCTTGAAGCAGCTTTCGCTCGCGCCCTTCTCGTATGTGAGGGAGGACAGACAGGAGCAAAGGGTGGCGTATGTGAGATGTGGGTGCCGAAGGCGCAGCGGCGGCCGCGAGGATATGGAACAC